CGGAAAGCAACTTCATTTTTACTATGATATCAACTGAAAGGCTCAGTTTCAAACTCTGGAGTTCCATTGCTCAACTCTAAGACATAAATTTAGATTATCTTGTCCAATCAAATTGCCCTATTCTAAGACTGATTCCCATTTACAAACATTGTAATATCTTAAGCACAGGGAACCACTATCTGTATTTTAGATCAATAACCTATAAACATTATGTACAATAGAACCCACCCTCTTTAAACAAATAAATCAAAGGCCCACCATGGGTAATAAAATTTTCAGTTTGCCAAGTGTATAAGCAAACACAACAAAATATCCCCCTTCAACAAATGGCAAATGCATGTTTATAATACAGCATAAAGTGTTAAGTAAGTAAAAACGAATGAATAAATTTTTAATTATGAAATTATTGTAAAAATGAAGTCATGCATGCAACAGAGGACATAATATTTTATTTTAGTGAACAGTGTAATGGAACAAACAGGTTTCAAAAATACAAATTTATGAATTTTGAATGAAGGTGCCATATTTAATCTAATGTTAGCTAAAAAAAATTCATTTTACTAAATATGATGTAACAAAGATATAAGATATGTAAAAAATAAAATATTTACACCTCCCCTCTTATCATAATTGAACATGAGATCCTTTCTTAGAACTGCCATTGTTTAAAAGTCAATGAATTAAATTACAAGCAGTCATTTCCTGTTTCTTTAAAATAATAAATATAAAGCTTAACAATTACTTCTATTTATAATGGTATAATAATCATTATATCTAAAACAAAACAGAAAACCTTAATTTGTATCTAATTATGTAATGCTTGACTTAAAGTGGAAAAATGAGTTGTTTTTTTTTTAATTAAAAACCCTTCATCACTGATCAGCCTCTAAATTCTCCCAAATGTATCCATACATTTTTTTCTTGTATTTGCACTTCATATATCTACATGCAAACCCTTCTGTTTTTTGTACGAATAGGCTACCTTCTAGCTGCAGTTGTATACCTCCCCTATCCGAAACCACACCCTAATACCTCCCCTCTCTCAAATCAAATCCTTACATCTCTTCCCTCAAATCACATCCCCACCTCTCTTCCCTCAAATCACACCCACTTCTCTTTCCTCAAATCACATTCTCACCTCTTCCCTCAAATCACACCCTCACCTCCCCTATCCAAAATCACACCCTTACCTCCCCTCTCTCAAATCAAATCCTCACCTCTATTCCCTCATATCATACCCTCCCGTCTCTTCTCTCAAATTATACCCTCACTTCTCTTCCCTCAAATCACACCATCACATCTCTCAAATCACACTCCTAAATCCTGGCAAATAAAGACAATGCAACACAGATGTAAACCAACAAAGTTTTTAAATTTATGCATGTAATTAAAGAGAATTGTATTTTGTAAGAGGTTGAAATACCCCACCTGTCATGCCTTGTATGTATTATACCTGAGAATTACTCTAAAGGCCAAGGTTCTGTTTGACAAATGGTTTTAGTGTTTTCATTCACAAATAACAGAATGTTACTGAAAAATGTAATGTTTTGGCAACAGAAACAAGGCATATGCCAACAATGCTATGTATCATATGTGGAAACATTACATTAGAACACCGGCTTTTCTTCCATCTTGCAGGTATCCGAAAGCTTCTTTTATCATTCAAGGGAAATAACAGATATTCAATCATTAGCATTATAAATAGCTCATAATTATCCATGTTTCTAATTTTTCTGTCATCATAATTTATCTCAATATAAATAACCTGTCTGTGAGTTATCTGCCTGTTGTCATTACTGAAAATAAGCGACTTCTATAAATATATCTGTTTGACATTTGAATATAATAAATCTTAAAACCTCCAAGTTAGTTACTATTGTAGGGTTTTTAATTTAAGTCACCAGGTAATCTTCAGGTATGAGCAGGCCCCCTAGACTAGAACCAATCAACTGTCTGTGAATCAAGCTGGATACCTTCACCACATCAAAATCCCATTCAAGAGCTGATATGACAGAAAAACATACTTTTTTGTACATTTCCAGCAAATTTTATGAGATTTGAAAATGACCTTGTCATGAAACAATAAGACAAAAACGTGTATAATAATTTATGTTTTATACATGTCCAAACAGAAAAGCGACCAATATTGCTAATTTTATACTGCATTCTAAACAATAAATCAAATATTTATACAGTTTTAAATGAAGACATATTGAACAAATGTAATTATATGATCCATCAAGGCCTTTCATTATCTAATTATACAATTTGACAGGTTGTCTTTGATGGTGTAAGAACACTTTTTACCAAATAGAAAATTTACCTTTCTATTTTTGAAGTTTTTAACATTCACAGTCTTCATTGTTTCATATAAATAAAATATAAGTTTTCATCAAATGTCATGTATTTTTAACCACAGGTTTGGTTATTTCATAATGACTTGGATTCCATTCAGAGTAGATAATGTTTATTTCATATGAAATATACATGTCTTATTTTAATGTTACTAAATGATGACTGAACTCTTTATTAAATCAAACAGTATAAAATAATGTTTTTGGTAGAAACACACACACACACATATATATATATATATACATGTATATACACACTTTTATTTCATCCACTGAAAATATTTTGGATACAATTTAATGTACATGTATTAAAGCAGACTGCACATGTTGCATCATGGGTAAAAAAGCTCATTTGGAACACTTCTGCTTTTATAGAACATAGTCAGCCATCACAACACATTGTGAAAATACACCCCTAAACAAACAGCTTGATTTATGTGATAAACTTTTTAAAGTGTTTTTCAATAAAAGTTGACCTATATTAAAGTGTAAGTTAAGAGTGAACTTACCATTAAATATGGGTGATATTGTGCTCCTGAAGATTTAACTTGCTTTATCATAGTCTTATATTACAATGTTTATATCCGAAATCCTCTCCTTTATATATAAACAACTCATAAAACTGTTGTTTTTTTCTTGTTTTTCTTCTTTTATTAAATCATCTATTGAGTAAGAAAATCCCAAAGAAGAAAAGCGTGAATAGTTTATGAAAGGTAATATCTGATTTAATCCAGTTTTCCTTTCTCTCCACCGTTTTTTACCATATGACTGAATCTGTAGTACTTTTTATATTTGGTTTAAAAATGAAGAGGTCCTATATAAACACATGACATACCATGATAATATAAGTGTCAGTTTAAGCGGACTGAGATAGTACACTATCAAAAATTTATCTCCCCCCCACCACATATAGCCTAGTAACAGAAAAGAAAAAAATTTTCTTTGAAGCAAATTAAAATAGTGAGTGTATATGTGTAACTAGGTGTATTGTGTTTATGATAATAAGTTTAGGAGGGATGAAGCTTCAGATTTCATGTCGATGTAAACAACTGGTTATATTTTAACGCATATATCTTATTTCTCGTCTTAACAATAATCAAATCAAATGCCCTATGAATAATTTATGCATACCCAAATTGAAGAAAATATTGAATTTAGCTAAATAACTTAGGTCAGTAACAAAGAAACTAACTTAAAATAGAAGTATGTAAATCAACAAGTTTATGCACGAACAGAAAAAAGACGGTAATATATTCACTTTTTATCGTGGTAGATTAAGATTTCAGTCCATTAAAAGATCCAATTGAACACCACTATACAGACTATATACGAACGTTAAATTAAACATTTATCACAATATCCTATTGAAATTAAGAGTCTATATATGTGATGTTCGCAAATACAGTGATATGATATCGTATAAATAAACCTGCCAAGAGTTTTTATACACATTGAACAATAGACTGGCGAGTGGGCACATTTATCAAAGAACTTAAGAAAAGGAATGAAATTCTAAACACACATATAAAACCATCAATGCGAGAAAAAATTTCTTTTATAAATGCAACCACGGATAAATTCATCAATTTATCAAACAGGTGAAAATGTGTCTAAAGGAAAAAAAGACAGAGTTATTTTTCAATCAGGTTTCACCTTACTTTTATTTACTTTAAAAAGTGAAAATATTGATAAATACTACGATCAACTGAACTCTGATTATGATCAACACCCGAGGGTAGCGAAAATGTCGAATCCGAAAAGGCAGTCTGTCCAAAACATTGTATCGAAGGTTAAATAATTATGACGATAAACCCTTAAAGCATTTGATCAACGGTGATAATCAGTAATGAAAACAGTCTCGATTGTGACCAAACTTGTATGAATAAAAGAAGCAACATGGTGATACATTCAATCATGAAAGATAAAAGTCAATAGCATATAAAAACAGAATTACAATAATCCGATTTTGTATACATCATATGTTACTAATCTCCGCAAAACTTTTAACTTGTTTGCCACAAAAACAAAAAATATACACAACAATGTGAAGGTATTATAGAGCCACATGGCTAGGTAACATGTGGCAGGACTTATTGATAACTTCTATGAAAATCCACCTCTAAATAATTACATACAATTATTGAAGAAAACTCACAGGTTAATAGAGAGAATAAAAGATGTTATTTTGTTATGACAAAAGTATTCTGCCCTGAATGATACATAAACAAGACTTTGAAGTTGCTATTTATGTGCAGTAAACAAGAAGTAGCATACCCTATAGGTAGAACATACTTCATCTAAAAGTTACCTTTTTTTTCTTCATGTATATTATAGCTCAGGCACAGAAACACAAGGGGAGATAAATCTTGTTTTCAACAAACAAGAAAATTGAAACTTTTGAATTCAATGTATGAAACATATCAGTGACATACTTCCAACACATTTTTGAAATATCTAACACATGTCAACACTGACCTACCTTGAATGTTAGAATTGTAATAGGGAAGTAAAATAGAAAATATAGATGTAGATAAAGAAACAAACTGTCATCTAAAAGTATATTATTACTATGTCTTTTTTTATTTAACAAAAAAGATTGAAAAAATAAGGTAATGAATATGATGCAAAATTAGTATTTTTACTTACATGATTAAGGTATGGATGGTATAGTACAGAAAGACCGCTGTTAGGAACCTCAGTTCGAATTTTCATCTCTGGGCAAACTTCCCCCGAATAATACATTCCAACACAGTATCAACAGGAAGTCTAATTTTCCAAGAACAATTCAGCATCTTAGGACCAAAAAATAAGCATAACAGTAATTATCACAATTGATTAAAAATATGGTCCAATGGTCCAAAAAGACAGAAGAAAAAAATATCCCTTAATGGTAATTACATCTATTTGGGAAATTAGCACCAAAACGTGTCAAAGTCGCATAAAATATGTCTGTTGTAATCAAATCAAAGAGTCAACTGACAACGACTGTGAAATCTCGCACTAAACACGCCACCAATGTATACAAACCTGACTACCCAATAATACCAATATATGTAATATAATCAAACAGTCAACCGTAAATGGTGTTCCTGGTTAATTCCATTAATGGTTTTTCTTTACTAGTTGTCGGCTTTGACGACCTGTGAAATTCACACAGGTTGATTTTAATCTCGATATCAATAGTACAAAAAACCTCCAAACATCAAAATGTACACAATGAAATGTAAACAAACGAAAAAGAAATTTTTTTTTCACCAATTAGCCGTTTACCACTTGTAACTTATTGTCAAATCATCCAATTAAAACACGCGGATTAACCTTTATCGTTTTGTCCTCTTATCACTCTTTATCCAGTATGTTTTAAAATTGTCCGTCTGCTTCTTCCGATAATACAAAAGTATGTTAGTTATTTTATGGTAAAAGGCAAAAATGATCGCCCAACTGTTTAAGTACATAAATGAATGACTTAAACTCTCAAGCAGTTGTTTAAAAACAAGATCTTTTATCCGGCTACTTCGCACTTCTTTCACTAAAGGATACCCTCCATTATTTTTTGTAGTCCAACGATGATTGTCAAAGCTAGGTTTTTTGTCCTGTGTACTTTCAGTAAGCTTATGTAAGAAAAGCGATAAATAACGCGAAGCCAGTTGATTTGGGGATAAATTGTTAAATAACGAGAAAAAAGTTTGATACGACTGGAATATTGCTTGACGTTAAACAATATTATTCAAAGTGGCTGAACGAAAGTCTGCCTAGCATCAGGCTATTGATTGCACCACAACATCACGGTGACGATAAAGTCATAAAGCCTGTAACATTCTTACAAATGTATAAATGGACACAAATAATAGCTAAAGGCCATGCGGTCTATATAGTTAGAATTATCTTGGATTACCATAAACATGACTGATAAATGGGTCCTCAAACAATTTCAAACGGTCATCAATATTGGAGAAAAAAATGGAGATGTAATTGCTCAACGATTTGTAAATTAGCGTATTTGTAAACATGATGCCAGCTTGTCTTTAATCTGTTTTTTTTTTTTGTAGAACGATACCAACATTGACAAAACTCAAGGCAATAACAAATTATGTAAATCTAATAATAGTGAAGATCTCCTGAAAATGTTTTTCAGCTTTAATTAGATGTCTCTTGAAATTTAACGATGTCTGTCACCTAATTATGTTATAGACCTGAGACAGTCACAAAAAATATGTCATTATAGCAGTATGCAGGGATACGTTAAAACATCTATCTTATTGTTTTAACTAAATGTTATTTAAATTAAAATTGAATATTTGAAAGTACTGGTCAAGAATGGAAGATAGGAGTGAAATATCTAATTTTTTCAGCTTTAAAAAATGTTAATGGTATCATAACAACCCAATTAAATTTAATAATCCAGCAGAATTAACATATTATCATAGATTTTTTCCTACTGTATTATTGTGATTGATTTGATGATGAAAAAGATAAAATATACAACAATATATATACATAGGTCTATTACAATCAATGAAAGCAATAAAAATAATAATGTAATAAGTAATTTGGTTTCATTGAATGTCTACATGTATATCATACATTACTACCATATTAATTAACATCATTGTTTAATTTCTGTTATTAAGTTTAATACTTTTAGTGGCAGCATGGACAAGTGGTTAACACATCAAACTATTCAGGATCTCTACGTGTATGGGTTTATACCCCGTCAGGGGCAAGCCGTTGTTCTTTTGAGCATGAAATTTTACACTCATTGCTCAGTACTGGTTGGTTCCAGGAACCTATTAGAGAGTATAGGCTCATAGCTTTCTTCACAAAATCAAACTAAAATGAATTCTGTTAAAATATATACTGCATCATTCTTCTACAATGGAAATATGAAATTACAAAATATTCAAGTTTCCTACTGAATCTGTCCTGTATGAAAACAATGACTACATTAATAATCTTGAGGAAAAAACAACAACAAAAACCCACCTCGTTTGAAAAGACGTAGGAAGTCGCCTCATATATACATTCAATTTAAAAGCTTATCATCTTATGTATAGGCAGAACTACATAGCTATGTCTACCGCAAAATTGTCCCGGTGGACCGTAAACCCGCAAAATAGACCCTAAACAGGCAATGCTGTTCATACAATTTGACACGGTCTTCCCAGTAATAAACAATTTCTCAGTAAATACCGAATAAATAAAGGCAACATGTGAATTCATTCATTGGAATTTGTGAAACTGTATTTGACAGAGTTACTCTCTCGGGAGACATTTGCGACATAAAACAGGCTACGAACTTCATGCAACAGAACCTAACGAGAAAGATGGAAGTATCGATAGACGTGTGAAATACGTCCAGGGAAATTTTGGATAATGACCTGCAGGAGATGTGTTCAAGAGTTCTTTATCTATGATGCTCCTTTAGCTTGTCTGTTAGTGCTAATTTTGTTAAATTTATTGATGACACAATCGATGTAGTGTGACTTTATGCCAAACAAAATGTACATGCATGAATCAATTATAAAGTACTATTATAGAGGAATAAATAAATGTGTGATGTAAATATAAGTGTATACTTTATATAAATGTTTATAAGTTCTTCATCTACTTAGTTTTGTTTCTACTTTATTAAGGATGCTATGATATATAAATCAGAACATAATTATTAACATTATTCCAGAAGAATGAAAAATGTGACATGAAACTTGGCAATGTAATAACTTTAAATGTTTAATCTGTTGCTATGTCAATCATTTCTGAAATCATACAATGTCTACATCACAATTATTCAAAACCAGAAACAATATTTTATTTTTTATAACCACTCTGATTCACATTACAAGACCCTTGCCAGCTATTTTGGGAAAATGTCAATAAAAGTTCCCTGACATAAATTTGGAAAAAATTATATATACATCCCATTTTTGGGAAATTTGTTCCCAGGTGATACCGTGAAAATACCTTCCATTATTAAAAGTGAACAAAAATGAAAGTTTCTTGTTTTTAAAACAATCAAATCTGATGGGGGGAAAAACATAAGACACACTTGATTATTAAAATACGATACAGAATCAGTTATATTCATAAGAAGAAATATAAAGCAAAAGTAACACTAAAGTTGACTCCATGACGAAGAAGGCAACAATTTTGAGAATCATAATAATTAAATCGTAATTTAAATCTTGATCAATTTTGTTATGTTGAATGTAATGACTGAAAATTATAAAACCATCTCTATATGTCGGACACAAACAGGGGGAAGTAATTTTAAAACATCAATGTCACAAAGAGCTTTCATCCGGCATGTCTGTGTTCATTTGAGCCTTCCTTGAAAGCTTCTGAGCGGAGATTTTCGTTTTGATAGATTCTTTATTACAAAATTTCTACATTTACACGACAGCACATCAAATATTTAATTGCATTTTGTCTCATTTTAATATTTCTACCGACAAACTCAAAGAAGACAAACTTACTCAAAGTAAACAAAATAACAATTATAGTCAAACTTGTATATAATACTCTTCCTTGGGATAAACGAAAAAAAAATGTCATAAAATGGAAACAGTTGGTAATTTCTTCAGGTAGGTAAAAAACATTTAGATTACATACAAGAGAGGGGGAGGGTCATGAAATTTTGACATCCTCCAGATGGAGTTTTGCATTTTACTTAGACAGGGCACCCACCAAACCCACATACTTCCTCAGCCTGACACATGCAAAAACACAAGTCAATAAAATACAGCAAAACCTGTTTCTTTAAAACCAGAAGTTCTTGGAAATGGAGAAAAGTGGCACTTACTTTATAAATGGCATCTCATAACAGTAATTTTATAATTGAATAAATGTGAACTTTCTATGATTATAGATATTACTTTCAATATGTGTTTTTTACTGGTCTAGTAATGTAAATTTTGCTGGGATTTGATTGAGTTTTATTTACCTACACTGCGATGGTCACATAGTGACTTTCCAAGGATGATCTCAGGTGCATATTCATGTATTATTTCATGCGTTGGCATAAGAGAAGAACTAACTGATCAGTTATACTAGCTGACACATAAGGTTTTGTCATCATTAAGAATTCTGAAAGACACTGATTGGATTCCAAACCACAGCAGTGATGGTCCTGGGATTCGAAGTCAGTGACCTTGACCATTATACCACTGAATCCAGTAAAATTACTGTATTCTCTCCATTTTTCACTGAATGACAAATTATAAAACATTTTTCAGGAACTCTTAAGAAATACTTAAATATCTTCTCTTTCTTATTTAGATTCTTCTGTCAATAAAAAATGTATTTAATTGTGTGAGTTAAAATTAATTGCTTCTGATTTATTTCTGAGAAATAAGTAAGTGTCTGGAATTTTTTACTGCCTTAAAAAATTGAGACAATATACTTCTATGAAAATGTCAAATTCCCATATAAATTTGTTATCTAAGCTGCACAAATTTATCCAATTTTGTTTATCTTTATTGAAATGAGAACAGATTGATGCTTGGTTTAAATTCTAGTTAGGCTTTTGTTTTTGTTTGTTTGTTTATATGCACTTAAGCATTTCTTTAAACATTCTTTCAACACAACTTTAAGGACACTGGCCTCTATTATGTGAACACTTGCTGGAGAACAACAGTGTCAAACTTACTGATTTAACACATACATCTGAACTTTTTTCGATGATCAAGTGGGAGATTTTCTTAAAAAAGAGGGAGATTTTAGAATTTGTAATAATAAACAAAGAAGGAAGTTATGACATCAAAAATAGGGAGATTTCTTTAATTTGTGAAAATACCCCTTATTTTAAGAAAATTCTTTGAATATGGCTGCAGAAAGTAGGAGTCTCCCGCTAAAAGTGTGGGAGAGTTCACATGTATGAATTACATACTGTCATGGTATTTCACTCAAGTCATATTATATATTAACACAGTGAAGACTAACAAGCACTTTTCAGCAAGTTCTACAATGATCAAACTGCAAGCATCAGTTACATTGGTATGTGGACTGCCCGGGCAGCTGGTAATCAAGCCAACAACCTCTCCCATACAAAAAAGGATTCTCTATTCCTTAACAAGTTACTTTCTAAAGGATTTGCATTGTGATCTGAGGTAATTGGAGGACCAAAATAATATACTATATATCCATTTATCATGCATTTATATTTTTTCTATCTGTGTTCTATCCCCATTGTTGAAACTGTCATATTGCAGAGAATATTGTAAAGCTTACAAATTACCATGACATGTTCAAACACAAATTTATTACACTTTGCAGTAAATCATTTTACAACTTGATTAAATCAATTTAATCATCTCCAATTTCCTATCAGTTGGGTTTATTTACTATTCTTTGGGGCAATATTGAATCTTTGTGTCTTTGTAAACAATGGTGGCTTTATTGATTACAAAAATACACACATGTTGCAGATGGTGTGCTTGATTTCTATTTATGATTGCATAAAATTACAATCAACAATGTTATAA